CACCACATCTCAAAAGCTTTGAGGCGTCAATGTGGAACTTGATTAACACACGACCATAACATTAAGTTCCCTATAGTATAGCGTGGTATGTAAGTTTAATCACTAAACGAGATCTTTTCGTCTTCTAGTGAAACAGCTTCGTGCGGCAAATTGGATTGTGTGTAATGTGACATCACCAGCCAACTATTTCCATCTGATTCGACGCCAGATCGCATTACCTTTTAGGAAACCAGTTATTTTGATGACTCCAAAGGTTGGCCTGAAGCATCCCTTCTATCGGTCACCCTTTAAAGACTTTTTACCAGGGACTAGCTTCCAAAGGTTTGCTTATTAATTATTTATTTATAAGCAAAGTTAAAGCTAACACATATCTATATTATATAAGAAAACACTTAGGCAATATAGAAAGCCAAAACAGACTACATTGTTAAAAATAAAATATATGAAACAGATGATATACGTACATTAATAGACCAAAACCGCACAACTGAAATTATTGTATTAAACAAACGACAAGTAATACTTAATATTTAAAAGAACTATATTTTTGAATAGTACATTATATTAATGCCTAGAATTAGGACTAAACGTGTATCCTTTTCCGTAATTTATAATAATCCTAACAATAAATCAAGTACGTAGTTGTATATTATGTTATATAGAAATAATGTCTTACAATAATCCTATATCCATGTATCCAATGATCATAAAAAGTGAAGGCGCATTTTCTTACTATTTTTTAAATAACATAAATGAAAATAAAGAAATAAAAAGATGGTGATAAGAGAATAGAGGCAAACTGAAGATAATAAACTACTGAAAGAGCCCATGTCCACAGGACACGCTGAACACCAAAACCGGACATCTGATGTATTAGTCTTAGGTGTCAGTATTAAGCCAGCCTATATTAATAATTAATAATTATATTATTATTATTATCTAGTAACATACTAGTGCTACGTACACCTGTGTAGTACTTTTTGGCATTTGTATAATAAAAATATTAATATTATATCGTAATTATGTCCTCAGAGCGATAGGCGACACGGGGCCAGCGAGTAAAAATCCCAAGGAAGTGAAAAAGTTAATATTTTGCTCTGGAAAAGTGGCAATAACGATTGACGACTTGCTCAAAGAAAAGAAACTGCAAAACAAGATTGCCGTCTGTCGGATAGAGCAATTATATCCGTTCCCCTACGATTTAGTCCTGAAAGAGTTTTGTAAATATGACTGTGCGAAGGTGTTCTATTGCCAAGAGGAGCACAAGAACCAAGGGCCCTGGCTGTTTGTTAAGGTTCGGCTGGAAAACCTGTTTGGAAAGAAAATTGGGTAAGGCTTCCCCCGGGAACTATTTTTACGTCAAATGTTTCATCCTTTTTTATATTTCTGTCACATGGTCACTCTATTGTACGAATGGCCTAAGCATTAGCCAGTTCATTAAATTTTGTAACAATTGCTACGGCTGAATATCTTTCAGGCCGCTAGTTAAACAGTGCTGTTTAGTTAAGACCCTATCCCAGCACGAATTGCTGTTTCAGTGTCTCGGGGTGGACTGCGGGGCGCAGTGGGGAGCTGGAGCGCTGAGGCGCGCCAGCCCGTAATAACATTTAGTTATGTAAAACATTAAATTAATGTAATTTTATCAATTTTTTTTCTGAAATGGATGGATGGACTTGGCTTGCGATAAAATATTTCGAGTAAATTTCAAAATCATGTTCTATATACATTTTCGTCATAAAATGAATTCAAAGTGTCAAAAATTGGCTATGTTTGGATTTATTTATCGAGCGAAGTTTTTTAAATCGTGTATCGATATTTCAAAATGGATACATAAACTACTCAACTCCAGTCTCCACCATATATTTTTATCATTCTCCCTTCAAGTACTTCGTACTTCAAGAAACGATGACGAAAAATGGAAAGAAACAATGTCCTTTTTTGGAGTTTGGCGACCAGATAGGTCCTTAAGCTGTTAATTGTACGGTTTAAGCTAGTTGGCTACGATATTTATATTGTTTCATGTGATGCGTTTATTATTATTTTCAGGTGCATATCTCGGCCAGCGAGTTCCGCGTCAGCAACGGGTATTAAGTGGATCCATGCCAAGGAGTTAACTGACCTTAAAAACAAAATAATTGAACTTTAATTATTTGTTAAAAACTGTTTGTGATGCAAATGTTTTGTTTTTGTTTGAGATGTATGGAATATAGGGTGTATATATAAGTGTTTAGTTAAGATTTAATGTAATTATGTGTTGCGAAAATCATAGGGTGTATTATATTAGAACCGTTCAATCAACCCCCTAGCCTCTCAACCTAAAAAAAAAAAAGGCCCGGGGGAAACGGGGCCCCCCCCCCCCCCGGGGGGCCCCGGGGGGGAAAACAAAAAAGCCCCCCCTTTTAAGGAGGGGGGGGGAAGGGAGGGGGGGGGGGGAAAAAGGGGGGGAGGGGAACCCCAAAAAAAATTTAGGGGGGGGGTTGGAGGGCTAGACTCCTTCTATATTTTGCTGTTTTATCTTATTTAAAATATTTTTTTGTAGTTAGCCAGATGCATGGAAGTAATAGCAGTGTGTATTATAATTAATAGAGCTTATCGCAGATTCTAAATGTAATTATTGTGTCAATGTTTGGTTTCGCAGGATAGCGGACATAGGCATTAATTAGCCGTGCAATTAAGGGTTTTCGAGCCTAGATGACGTTACTCAGGAGTTGTATTGATGGGGTAAAATTAGTAGCTCTCTTATTACTTAACAAAAAAAAAAAAAAAAAAAAAAAAAAAAAAAAAAAAAAAAAAAAAAAAAAAAAAAAAAAAAAAAAAAAAAAAAAAGGGGGGGGGGGGGGGGAAAAAAAAAAAAAAAAAAAAAAAAAAAAAAAAACAAACACCCCCCCCCCCCCCCCCCCCTTTTTTCTTTCCCCCCCCACGCCGGGGAAAAGGGGGAAAACCAAACCCCAAAAGGCAAAAAGGAAACTGCAAAGGAACGAAAGAAATTGGAGGGTAGTAAAAAAAATTTCGGTGGCCGGGCCCTTTTTGTGTTTGCGCGCCTGTGCCCCGCACACTTCGCACATGGGCGCCGGCGCCGTGTAACTAACGGCCTGAAAGATATTCAGCCGTAGCGTTTGTTACAACATTAAAGCCTTTCGGTAAAAACTCACTACACATTCTACAACTAGGTTTTTACATTTTTATTTTTATTTAATTAAAAAGAAATTCCTTGTCTATTGCCAACCAATTCTTATTATTTGGCCGTGTACATCTACGTCAGACAATTAAATTTCATTTAATTAACTGAAATCGATCTTAAAACGTAAATTTCCTTAGATGCCCGTTTTTGTTTATTAATTTATTCATAACTAAAAGAGTTTTCTTGTTAGAAAAAGCTACTGTAGTATCTATATTATATTAATATAAATTATAGATATAAATATAAATTTAGCATTACCAAACGTACTTCAAAAGTGTTCATTATCTAAATGAATTAACATCTAACATTAATAAATAATAGTTAGTGAAACAGTACCTAGAATATTAAATAAAAACATACATTTCTAGCATACAAAGCCAATAGTAATACACTGGCACCATTTTAATGTACTGGTGTGCATAATAGTGGTTACTGTGTATTACAATCTAGATTCTAGACTAATATAAATATATAAATCGTCCCAGCGGATGTTCGAAATTTAAATTAAATATTATGTATTTTTGAATACTGATGCAAATCGTGAAATTCATCTAACATTTTTATGCAGTTTCATGCCGATCTAGTTTACATATAAATACTTCGATATCTTTTAGTTTTAATGTATACATCGATTTGGGAAAAATACACTGAAAATTGCGGAAGTGTTATATTTTTTCACTCGAGGAGAATTCTCCCTTTAGGTTGGACGAAATGTTTGTCATCCAAGGAATCGTGCGACTCGAATGAATGATGATGGACGTTAGATATTTTTCGTATCAATTCATAATCAGACAATGACCAATTCTACCAAACCTACCTATTTGTTCAATAAAGTAAATAAATAAATAGATTGCACAGTTTACTAGAGGAAATAAATATGGCATAATGAAAAAATAATATAGGTACTTATCGCAAATATTTTCCAGATATTTATGACTGTTTATTTAATAAAAAATATTTTAATTAAATACAAAAATCTGATAAAAATCTTTTGTTGTTATTATTTATCATAATCGGGTTTACCCGCCGATATACTTAGATGTTTTATATCAAAAGACGTAGCTTTCCAGAATATTTAAAATGTAATGTTATGCTGACTTAGAATAATCAAATGACATATATTATTAACAACTTTCTTGAACGAAGTATATTATATTGTATTATTAAGGGTGGTTTACCTTTCGGTGCGGCGCGGGCGGCAAGCGGCATATATATTTTTTTTAAAACTAGCAGCTGCTCTGGCGTTGCACGGCTAAACATTTGTTTAATAATATATTATATTCTATAGCCTAAGTTCAGCAGAGATAGTGTTTCTAATGGATAAAGCATTTTTTTAATCAGTCTAGTAGTTTTGGAGCCTGTTCAATGCAAGCAAACAAATAAACAAATTATTCTTCTTTATAATATTAATGTACGTTAAATAGAAATGGCTTGTAGAAACAGTACGCAAAGTCGAATAGCCCATAAATTCTCATAACTTATTTTCCAGTCGGTTACCACAGCCAAGCCTGAAACATAATTTTATTCCGTGCCTATGCGTAACTTCAATCTTTGAGTTATGACAGCTTATAGCGAGAGTGACTGTTGACGTTCTCTGTACTTTGACGTTTATTATTTTCAGTTTTTCCGAGATTTTCCCGAATTCGCAACTTTTCAACATCTCGTTCTATTTTAAGACGAATGAGTGATAAGACTCTTAATTATTAACTAGATCTATTACTAATGTTGTTTGACATGGAGTTCTTGAACTCGGCATGAGTCCCTCTTTATGAATTATTGTGAAAAGGTTCGGTTTCCGGGACTGCTATAATTTAAGAATATGCAATGGAACTGCAAGTGTTGGAAAGGGCGATGGCTTTGCGTGCTTTTAATGTTGGTGTTGTGCCCTCTCATATTGTGCCAGAAAATCGGTGACCCATATCAAATACTGGGTATACATCGTCGAGCAACATTGCCTGAAATACGCAAGGCGTATAGGCAATTGGCGAAAGAATGGTAAGTGATTAAAATCTTTGTTGTGTCATATATATTTGCAGATCAATTTATAATCAATAAATTCATTAATTAATCCATTATATTCTCAGTCAAGTTAGGGATAAAAGATCTTTAAAGTATTCAACATTTTCAAAAAAAAATCCTAGGCACCCAGACAAGAATGAGGATACAAATGCTGAATCTCGGTTTGTTGAGATCAAGCAAGCATATGAACTGCTATCAGACGCAGAGCGCAGACAGGCATATGATTTATATGGCATCACCAATGAAGATGACCATATGTACAAGCAAAGACATGACTATAGTCAGTATGCAAGGTTTAGGTAAGTAAATTTATCTTTACTTTGAGCGTAACAAATTTTTACATTTACTTATTATGTATTGAATTTGCCATAAAATTAAGTAACCATATTAAAAACTGATTTAGTTGTGCTTTCACAATTCTAGCATGTTTTAAATATTCTGTAGCTAAGCAAATTGATTTATTTATTTTTGGCAATTTTATGTAAATTGCTTTCTTTGACTAATAAAGCTTAGTCAGACAGTTGGAATGTGTGATACGATCCATTTAACAGAAGCATTGAATAAATATTGTTCTTTAAGATATTTTAAGAACAATAAATTTGTAACATCTGCTATATATCTGTTTCTTAAAAGTTTGTTAGCTTATTACTTTTAGGTATTAAACCTTGGTGAAAATTTATTTATTAGATTTAGCTTTAGTTAGCAATACTTTAATTATTCCTTTAGTAATTGATTTTTGGTACTCAAATGACAAATCTAAGAATCTATATCTGTATTTCAGTTTAAGTTCAGTATTACAATTAATGTTTTTTTCAGCAATGATCCATTTGATTTCTTCAGTGCCCATTTTCGTTCACAAGACCAAGATATAACATTGTTCCACAAATTGTCTGTTACTACCAGGTATTTAATTTTTATTACTTACTTTAAAAAAAATATCTTGTGTAAATGTGAGTGCTATAATTTTATACATATTCCTAATAGTATTTTTAGGTGAGTCCATGTGCCAGGAAAGCCTTATAAAAATGTTTCATGGAGCAGACCTTCATAATAACAAGTTTATAATAAATCAATCAGTTAAATGTAGGTTTTGTAACTGTGTAATATGCAACAGGGAAATATTTAACTGTTATTTAAAATTAGTTTGGGCACTAATCATTAAAGTGCCAGTATTAACAATACTCTTGGTTCATTGTAAATATATGTAAAAAATAATTGTTTTGATGTCTGCAATTTAAATAAATTCTTTTTTTTACTACGTAGGGTACATTACAACTTATAATGCAATCATAAAACTTAGGAAAATAATACTAATTTCAGACATTTTGAAAACAATATACTCGAAAAGAGTGTCAACACACCAGCTCTGGTGCTGTTCTATACAGACT